AATGCAGTCATCCCTCGTTACCAGTGGCTAAAGAAGACCTGTATCCTCAAAAAATCTATAAGAACTGTGAAGAAAATGTCGACAACCACTCTAGTGCTCGAGCAGCCTGAGCGAACCCTGGACGACGACGTTCTCGAGGATGGAACCCGGGGGAATGTCGATGGTGGAGCCCTCGGTCGCAACAATGATGACAGTGCCCTTGAGGGTGACACCACGGCCAAGGTTGACGGGACCGGTGATGGTCAGATGGTCAAGCTCGACAATCTTGGGGATGGAGGGGATGCGGGCCTGGAAGCTGGAAACCTTCTTGAAGTCGCTGCCGAGCTTGATCAAGGGAGCAGGGCCGAATCGGTTGGGGTCAATCACCAGCTGGCCGTGCTGCAGTGTGTACAGATCCGACTTGACGAGCATCAGGTCAGAGCAGGTCTTGACGGGCAAGAAACGTTTTCGGGGAACGTTGACACCGTGCGCGTTCTTGAAGTGCTTGATGGCGGCACCGACAGCGGTCTCGAGCTGGAGAACCGAGATGTCGGCCTCGCCCTTCTTGTCGGCAGGGATGGACTTGCCGTTGGGGATAATCTCCATGGCAAGCTCGTTGGCCTCAACAACGCGCTTGATGGCGGCGAGGTTCATCCAGATGTTGTTGGTGTTGAAGTACTTGAACTTCTTGATCGACTTGAACTCGTTGACGTGCTCCTTGGGAACCTGGGCGATTTCAAGCAGACGGACAGAGCCCTCGTAGTCAATGATGGTTCCACCCTTGACATCAGCCTTGGTCTTGTCTGTCAGCTCCATGATGTACTCGGCCTGAGAGTCGACCATGTGCTGGAGAATGCGGAGATCGACAACGGCACCCAAATTGTCGGCGTTGGAAAGGAAGATGTACTCGATACCACGGTCCATGAGCTTGTCAATCATGCCGGTGTTGTAGAGAGACTCGAAAACGTCACCGTGACCAGGGGGGTACCAGTTGGCGATGTCGGACTTGTTCTCCTTGGGAGCGGGCAGGAGCGAGTCCTTGAGGATACGGGGGTATCTTGACTGGTTGAAGGTGAGGATGTCGATGTTGTGGCCCTCGTACTTCTTGATGATGCTGGCAGTGTCGGTGTCGGTGTTGAACGAGTTCATCAGCACGAACGGCACGTTGACATCGTATGTGCGGTTGAGGTACTCGATCTGTCGTACTGACAGGTCCAAGAAGGACATGCCATCACGGACCTCGATGACGGACTTGGGGCCAACGCAACCCATGGAGGTACCGAGACCACCGTTGAGCTTGACAACCGCCAACTTGTTCAGGTATTCGACAGCCTCGGTGTTGGCCAGCTCATCGTAGCTGACGACCTGCTCGGCCTTCGGGGGAGCGATGCGGTTCCAGTCAATGGCAGTGCCCTTGGCCTTGTCGTTGAGGTATCGGCGGAACAGAGCGAAGAAGTTGTCCATCTCAGTCTCGAAATACTGTAGTGGGTCAGTAAACGCTCAGAATGACGTACCCTCCAAATGCCCCTCCAAACATGTTCATAGCTTGTAGTCGCGAGATTAACCCACGCAAGCATATCGAAATGTATAGGTGGCAGATGAAGATGGAGGGGTATAGAAGGATTGCGACTGACCTTCTTCTCAGCGGGGTCTGTGACGGTGTCGGCGAGCTTGTTGAGCGCGTTGCGCATTTGCGAGGCGGCGACATTGGTGGATGTGTTCTCGAAAGCCTGCAAAGTCGTTGTTAGTTGATTGAAATCGAATTCGAGGTGTTGGAGTTGTTGAGACGGTACGTGTTGTCACCACGACATCACTCCCGCGGGGAGTAGGCGATGCGAATGCGGGGCCAATACTCGAGAGTGGCAGCGAACACCAACTCAGATGGATCGCCTCGTCCGCTCGTAGGAAATCGCCTTGAAGTCTGGCCGAACGGCGTATTGCGATCGACCAGCAATCGTGGCCGCTCAATGCCAGCTCTCCTCGGTCCCCACCATACCCATGTCGAGACAACGGGAAGCGGTGAGGATAGCTGCGTCCGCTGTGCAGCAACAAAACCAATGCAAGCAAGCAGCGCTGGAAAAAGCAAGACGCACGCCGGACAACTGCAGAAACAGAGAGAAAGAGTACTTACCACGTGGGACTGCGACTTGCCGTGATGGCGTTGGGATGAGAAGCCACCCTCGCCGCCCTCGGCAGCGGAGGGCTTCAAGTGAGAAGGAATCGCGCGAGACGCCATTGTGTATGTTTGAGGAGAAAAGAGGTTATTCCGTGAGGAGAGAATGGTGTAGGGAACAACAAGTGTTGGGGAGCTGGTCTCCTTAAAGGCAATGGGTCGCGCTTGGCGTTGAACGTGGGGCAAGTCGAGAACAAGCTATGGCCTGGTAACGAGAACAGGCTCGGGGTTTGATGGCGATGGTGAAGAGACGGTGTGAATTTGCCTTTTATACATGCAGGTCATTGCCGCTCAAGTACTAGAAGGGCAGTTACGACCGCAGCATCTCTGCATGGCAACGGCCACGCCACCAATAGTGCCTGCCCACGACGAAGTCTTGATACTTGCTTTCACACCATCATCAGCCATAGTGCAGCCATTACACCTCCTGTGCAATAGCTTCGGCTAGTAGCTGTTTTCACCCCAGCTATTCTGGTATCAGATTACAGCCCTCGAGCTGTTCCACCCAGCTTCTCACTCAGCTCTCACTCAGGTCTGACCACGTTACTGTATCGTGGCTTCACAACAGTTACACTTCCAAGTCTTCACACCATCCCGCGTCTGCCCGAGTCAACAGTGACTATCGAATGGCTGCGCGGCCGCCTATCTGCTCGACCTCACGATGCACAATTGTTGAATAACTTTTCGGAGAGCTATGTCGATAAATTGAAAAGCCCCTCATCTGGCCGCCGCGCTAGCAGGGGGCTGCAGTCAGCTTGACGTCGCGCAGAGACCGCTCTTCCGACTTGCTCCCCAACAGACTTCCCCGGCTGGGAAAGTTGCATTTTTTTCCACAGTGGCGACTGCGCGATGCAACGCGGAGGCGAATGCAGCGGGGTTTCGGGTGATCAAGGGTCTTTTGCATCTGCATATCGCGGAAGTGACTTGGGATGAAAGATAGTGGCTGCAGAAGTGGAAAGTGGCAGTGGCGCAGGTACACGTCTGCATCGCTTGGACCACGTGGGGGATCTTCTGCTACTAAGTCGGTGTATTCACGCAACAACGATGCCCATGCTACGACAACAGCCTCAAGAACGCCCACCTCCACTACACATGCCCGTGTTGAAACTTTGCGGGAATTTACTTAGACTATTTCTCGAATTCCGACAAGGGCCATTGATCGCATTATGCCCAACAACAAGAATACCATTTAGGTGTACCAATGGCCCAGCCTGGAGGAACTCGCGATACCAGGAACCGAAATGGCAGAAGCTTCTACAAGCTTAGACGCTTGGCGGTTCCCGACTTCACGCCGTCAGGCTGTAAGACAGGGACAGCTATGGAAGTGGAGACTGAATCGGTACCGGTTGCGCTAACGTACCTCCCCTAGCACAAGTCAGGAACAGACATCGTTAGCTGTGCCCGTGGCTGGCGTCCGAGAAAACCTGCAGACGTTTCCACAGTCACGGCGACGCTTTGACTCGCTGCGGCAGTTTGCTAGTGACACCACCCCACCCTAGCTCGACCGTACGGGTCGTGTTATCTCGACGGCTGGCGCATCTGCAAAGGGTACCGCATGGGGCTTGCTAATTCTCAGCTTGATCCACGCGTTCTGGTCCGCCTCTTCTGTGAAGAATCTTTGTCTGAGCTCGTCGACCAACCACGCAAGCAGGCTCTCGATCGTTTGGAATGTAGAGCCAGATATCAACTACGCTGGTCAGTCGGTGTGTACGTATACATTGTGCTGTGCATACCTCGAATAAGAAAGTTTCTAGCTGAGGGTATCCCTCCACACGAGAGTCAGCCATGTTGTCAACCCAGACATTGAGGACCACGGGCTGTTTCTGCAGCCTCTCATTGGAGTTGACGCCAATCAGGCACGGGATGCGGACGTTGCGCAGGTACAGTACGTTCGAGCTGGTGCCAGACCCTTCGACGCGCGAGGTGATGTGTCCAGCGCCTTCGCCAAACATACTGCCTTTCAGGTAACAGACGTCGGTTTCGATCGCGTATACGTCTGTCGAGCCTGCGACATCGCGGACGCATTGAGAGACGGCATTCGATAGAGCGACGGTTGACATCCATGCCATGGAATCATCTTTAAAGCGCGCTTGTATCGCCTTGCTGAGCGTGCCGTAGTGCACAGTGCTGTCATCGACGGAGTCAGTAGAAGAAGCTGACGTGAACTGCTTTCCGAGTGTCAACGTGACACTGATCAGGGCCCGCTGCTTCTTCTCGCGTCCCCAAACATCTTTTCCTGCGTTGACGACGACCTCGAGATTCTGGACCATAATCTTGTCATAGTGTCCACTGGAGGCCACTTCGGCGTCCCACTGGGCCTGACGAACGACCTGGCTCATGACAGGAATTTGGTTGGCAAGTTTGAAGAAAGGTGTTGATTAAAGGGACAGAGTGTATCTTGGTGGGCCAAGATGATCGTCTGAAATTTGGGTGACTTGTTCAGGATGTCAGTATGGGGTATCTGTGCGATCACATAGCAATTATGCTAGACGACAAAGCGCGTGGGACAATTGTTGGGTCTGCGATTGACAAAATGCATTGTTCTTTTCGAATTCCTCTAGATCTCATCATCTGGTCTGTGAAGTACTTGCGCATGCAGAGGGCTGGAGGGCTGAAAGAGGGCTGAGATGGTACTCACCAGGCTGAAAGTGAGTTGGGTGAGGCTCGTGGTGGGGTATATGACGAGCGCCCTCCAGATGTCTGCCGCACGGACGTTCCTGCCAGAGCTCCGCAATCGAACATTCTAGCTACCCATCAAACTATAATTCAGAGCCTGTCCCTCGCACGCGTAGTACCAAAAGATTCGCAGTCACATTACAGAATCAACCACACGCACAATACCTCCACCATGGCCGACGCACTAAAAGCAGAGGGTAACAAGCTCTTCGCAGAGAAGAAGTTCGCCGAGTCCATGTAGGGTCCCCGCAAACACAGCCTAGCGACGGTTTACTAACAAATCCCAGCGAGAAGTTCTCCCAGGCAATCGAACTCGACCCCCAAAATCACGTCCTCTACTCGAACCGATCCGGCGCATATGCCTCGCTAAAGGACTGGCAAAAGGCTCTCGACGATGCAAACAAGGTTACCGAGATTAAGCCAGACTGGGCCAAGGGCTGGGGACGCAAGGGAACGGCGCTCCACGGCGAGGGTGACTTGGGTATGTATAGCGCTCCTAGGAGAGATGACGTCGCTAACACCCAATAGTGGCAGCCACAGAAGCCTTCGAAGAGGCACTCAAGCTCGACCCAAGCAATGCTCAGGCAAAACAAGGCCTCGATGCCGTCAAGCGCGCAGTCGAAGCTGAGGCGAACGACAGCGGTGTCGGCCTCGGTGGCATGTTTAACGACCCCAACATGATCCAGAAGCTCGCGGCGAACCCCAAGACAGCCTCCCTCCTCGGCGATGCAGAGTTCATGGGCAAGCTCCAGCAGCTACAGAAGAACCCGAACATGGCTGGCCAGTTCATGCAAGATCCCCGCTTCCTCTCCGTCATGAGCGTGCTACTAGGCATCGACATGTCTTTCGGTCAAGGGCCAGGTGCTGGAGGAGCAGGCGATGCAGGCACAAAGGAGGCCGAGGAGGACGTCGAGATGCCCGACGCGCGACCAGCTCCCGAGCAACCGAAGAAGGCGCCCGAGCCTGAACCGGAGCCCGAGCCAGTAGAGGAGTCTGAGGAAGACAAGGCTGCGAAGAAGGCAAAGGCCGAGGCGGACGAGCTGAAGAAGAAGGGCACCGAGTTCTACAAGAAGCGACAATTCGACGAGGCTATCGAAAACTACAACAAGGCATGGGAGACACACAAGGACATTGCATACAAGACCAACCTTGGAGCTGCCAAGTTTGAGAAGGGTGACTACGAGGGCTGCATCCAGGCTTGTGAAGAGGCTGTCGAGTACGGTCGTGAGATCCTGGCCGACTTCAAGATCATCGCCAAGTATGTCATTCCCAATCTTACACCAGCCATTTGCTAACACACGCAGGGCCTTTGCACGTATCGGTACCGCGTACGAGAAGATGGGCGATCTCGCCAACGCAGTCAAATACTACCAAAAGGCACAAACCGAACACCGCACACCCGAAGTCCTCGCAAAGCTCCGTGCAGCGGAAAAGGCCAAGGCCAAACAAGAGAAGGAGTCATACATCAACCCCGAAGAGGCTGAGAAGGCGCGTGAGCTCGGCAATGCTAAGTTCAAGGAGTCCAACTGGCCCGAGGCCGTCGAGGCATACTCCGAGATGATCAAGCGCGCACCAGACGACCCAAGAGGATACTCCAACCGCGCTGCCTGCTTCATCAAGTTGCTAGAGTTCCCATCGGCTGTAGCAGACTGCGACGAGGCGATTAAGCGCGATCCAGACTTCATCCGAGCCTACCTGCGGAAAGCCCAAGCCTACTTCACCATGCGCGAGTACAACAAGTGTGTTAACGTATGCGCGGAAGCCATGGAGCACGACAAGGACGGCAAGAATGCACGTGAGATTCAGCAACAAGAAGCCAAGGCTCTGCAAGCACAGTACTCGGCACGCGAGGGCGAGACCGAACAACAGACCATGGAGCGTATCCAGCGGGATCCAGAGGTATGTCGACCCATACATGTTTCATATGAGAGCTTTACTAACACACACTCAGATCGTCGGCATCCTCCAAGACCCCGTCATGCAGGCCATCCTCCAGCAAGCCAAGGACGACCCCGCAGCGCTGCAAGAGCATCTCAAGAACCCCAGCATCCGCTCCAAGATTCAGAAGCTGGTGCACGCTGGTGTCATCAGGATGGGACGTTAGAAGCAATTCCTCTGATGGCACCCGGGTTCTCATGCATGCTCGTGCCAAAATTGATCATCAAGCATGGTTTTGCGATCATTCCACACACATATTTTGTATGACTAGACGGGAACTTTCTCTTTTTCTCTGCATAGCGTTTAGGTAATGAAATGTCTACGATTTCTCCTGTTCACGTATGACTTGCCATGATGAGACAAGTGAGATGAACGAATATGCGTACATGTATTGCGGTAAAGAAATGTAGTTGCCTGTTGCCAAACTCCACGGTATATGTCTTCGTTAAGTCTCCACCTTCCCTAATGCGGTCTTCACATGGATACGTTAAAGCGAATGTGTAAAACACCGTACGCCCATCCCTATACCCCTTCCCAAACGAAACCAACAGATACATTACACTCCCCTTAAGTCCACTTTCCTCCTATCTTCCATATCCTACAACCCACTAATAAAATCCAACAACCTTAACAACGCACCATTCTCAACTCTACACCCTTCGCCCTCCCTCTGCGCTCTCCGCAACCCCTGCGCCAACCACAGCCTAATCGTATCCGGATCGAGGTTGCGGAAGTTCTGCTGGCCGATCATGACGAAGGCTTGGGCACACAGCGTCGTGCTTTCACTGGGGGACGGGGGCGGTTTCGTGGAGCAGGATGTGCATTCTAGCGTGTTTGTTGGAGGTGGTGAGTTTGGAGTTGGGGGGTCGTTGCAGCAGGGTGGGGGACCGGTTATCGTGAGGGTTGTTGTGTTGGTTACTGTGAGGTGGGTGTCGAGGGACGGGGCTTGTGTTGATGTTGGCGTTGAGATTGAAGTTGGCGATACCAAGGACATGTTTGACTGTGACGACGTCGATGGCGACGGCAGGTAGAAAGAGGATCCGCCCAAGAAGGAAAGGTCGCTCATGTCTGGGACATGCCCGTGGACATCAGGGTAGCTGTCTAGTTGCGGGTCGATGAGCTGATCTGGTTGGATGGATGTGAGTGCTAGCGAATCGGTTTGCTGGTCGGGTAAAGCGGGAACGGGTGGTCTGGGTATATCTTGAGATGTAGGTGCGTTTCCTTCTCCTATACATCTTGCTCCTTCGTTTACATCGTTGTTGCTGGTATTCTGTCGTTGGGGTTGTTGGTGTGAGCCCATTGCACATCCTCCTGCTTTCAGAGCGGCGATTTCCGCTCGCGCCTCTTCAAGCAACTTTTCGGTCTCGGCGAGCTTTTGCTCGAGAGAAGCGACATGATCGCGCTGTCGAGCGCGGTGTCTTCTCTGGTTCTCGCGCACGCGGTTCAACGTGTGCTCTGCTGAAACGCGTGACTTGCGGCCGTTGCCGCGAGTCGCTGTCGGTGCGGCATCGGAGGTGTTGTGATCTGACGCCGATGAAGAAGTGGGTGATGTCACCATTGCTGTGGATGCTGAAGAGGGTTTTGGTGGGCTGGAGATTTCACGGAAGTGCTTTGAGGATTTGTGGAGGATTTGCGCACGGAGATGCTGGGCGGCTTCGAGAACGTTGAAGCGTGCCTGGGTGGAGGTGAGGCAGCGGGTGTAATAGCTTGGCGGTGACATATCGTTTTTGCGGGGATCTTGAAACACGAATGTGGTTGCTTCATGTTCGGGGTTGTCAGAACATGAGCACATGCGAAAATTGGGCTGAATGGATTGCGGTAGTAATTTCGGTCAATATGAGATGCACATTTGTTAGCCGACTTTTGAAGTTTGTTTGAAATTACCTAGGTACTTTTGACGTTACTGACGTGTGTAGGCTATTCCTTGTCGCCAGCCTTTCACGACTTTGACATCCAACATGGGAAAATAAGTATGCCCAAATTCGATAGCTCTCTGTAAAATCATACCAAGCCCCGTAGGAAAAGCTTGATCCGATGATCCATCCAATCTACATCCTTCGGGTTCGCCCCACCGCCCGCAATATGTCCCCAGATACTGGGCACTATCTCCACCGTCGCATTTTCCAGGCTCTTAGCTTCCTTCTCGCTGACATAAGGACGGAAGTACTGATCGTACTCGCATGGCATGAGCAAAACCTTTGCTTTGATGCTTTTGAGTGCCGACTCTAGATCCTCCGCCTTGGTGCACCGAGTGATGTCTCCGCGCTGCCACATACCCAGCATTACCAGAAGATCGTCACCTGTCCAACCTTCGTAACCCTGAATAGTAGCCACATCATCCCAGTCTCGCAGTTGCTGGAAGCCCATCTCTTTGTAGCATTCTTCGTCGAACCATTCGGCGCTTGTCAGCCACGCTGAATACGCCTTTCCAAAGGCCCTGATACCCCTCTCGGGACTCTTTGCGCTTTCCAGCGCTGCCTTCGGTCCCTCGAGGAACTGGAAGTTGTGTCTGCTAGTTTTGGCTGAGGAACATACGATTACGGCGTGCTTGATGAAATCAGGGTGCGTTGTTACCCAATGGTAGGTGATCTGGCCGCCCATCGAAAATCCTAGCATGACGTCTACCTCTTTGATACCGAGCTCTTGGGTAAGAAGCTGGTACTGAGCATTGATGCAGTCCAGGTACTCAAGGGTACTGGGGAAGTCGGGCGTGTTTGAGGGGCTAGAAGATTCGCCATTGCCGAGAAGGGCAATCAGGATGATCTTGTGATTCTTCAGAGCGGCGTTGGCATGTGTCAAGGTGGTGTCGAGACGGCCTTTGAAGCACGTGTGTACAACTGCTATCTTGCTGTTATGCGGGTTGAGGATCTTGTAGGCCAACTTGAGTTTCGGCAGTGTGGTGCCACTGTGGAACTTGAAATCGGAAATTTCGTACGTTTGGAGAGGCTCGGAGCTGGCTTGAGACAACATTTTGAGATGCAATGGAATAAACGGCAGAAGCTATGGAGATGAGGGGAAGATGAAGTTTCGCGGGGTACTGTGCTGAGGGTTCAGAGTGCCGATGCGATGACGATAGTATGGGGCTTTCTTCGTCATTGGCGCATGGCTCTGCCCCACTTGCGGCTCTGGAAGACCGCGGTTTGGTGTTCGTCGGAAGTCTAATGTGTACTTTATTCATCCATCGGCCAACACCGGCTCTCATGATGCTCGGTGGAAGCATGGAAGTAGAGAGATGTGCTGATGCAAATGAAGATGGACAGTTCCTTCTTCTGTGCATCATGTGCCCTAGCAGCCAACGGATATATACTGCAGAGCCGTTCACTGCAGGTCTACCGAATTTGCAAGTTTCCTGCTGGGATGTTTGGTGGTTACTGCTTATGGGTTCATCGGGTTGCGCCACCAACGGCTTATAGTCTGGTAGATGAGCGCTCATCTTAATCCTACCATGTCGGCACACCACTGCATATCGGTAAAGGCCATGTGGCCAATAGCGGACGACCAAGACCGCTAGCGTCTGAAGTAAGCACCGGTTGTTCGTGTTGCATCGCGAGACGCGCTGAATGGGAAAGTACTTGAAGCACTGCCAAAGGCACAGTCCTTTCGCCTCGAAATTCTTGTGGCCGTGTTGTGTTGTTCGTTCGTGAAAGCGGAACGTCAAGGCCTCCGTTCCGAGTATATTTAGACGTCGGCCAGGTGGCACAGCCGAGGCTTGCGGTACGCTAAGGAACCGCTACCCCTGTCGCGCCTTATCAACTCCAGTGTTGTTTCGGGCATAGCCCATCCTGTGGTCTTCCCCTTTGGGAGACTCTCAATAGCCTTGCAAGCGAGGTATCGTTGAGCAGTTGGAGTCTGTTGTTGTTGTCGCCATGTTCCTCAGGGGGTTGTCGAGGTGCGCACATGAAGACGAGAGTGAAACACATGCCACGCACGTCATGACGATCTCGACAAGCTGGGGCCAGGATCTACGTACATAGAGTAAGACGTTGGGCATAGAAGACCGGGCAGTGCTGGTGGTGAGATGACAATGGAAACCACATGGAGAAGTCATTGTCGATGCGCCGGATACAACAAGGTCAATATTTGAGCCGCACACAGACTACAGGCGCTGCCGCCAAGGGAATTATATACGACCGCATGTGGTAACTGGGTGAATGTAGGACCGAGTGCGCGGCGCACAGACGGGATCTGGTGGGCTGAATGTGGGGTGTGTCGACGTTGGCGCTGCGAACACGAGACATCTGCAGACGGCCGTTTCCAAGCATAGCCGTAGCCGGCAAGCGACGCAGAATCGCAATTTCGCTGTACGGCTTTACGCAAATCTTGCTCGTGTAGAGAAAGCCCGAGGCAGCAGACGCAAAAGGAGTTTAGGATACCGCTGCAGGCATGCAACGATAAGCGGGCGGCGCGCAATTAGCTTCGACCCTGGGCAATTTAGCTGATAAACTACTCCGCAACTACAGCGGCGGTTCCACGACGTTGTTGGGTCCTGGCTTGGTCCGCATCTCGTGGCTTTCCTCCCATCTGCCTTTCTTTTCACCTGTATATACCTGACGGCGGCATTGGTTCTTCGCATCAGGCAGTTTCATGTGGCCGGACCCTGTTAGAGAAGTGACAGACTCTCGGAACACTTTGGCCAGCCCGTCGTCGCCGCCGCCAATAATCAATTGAGCCCCAGGGACGGCAAACACGACACACGCAGCCTCGACGCCAGGCACGCGATCACCCCGACGCGCCTCACCCGCCATTCACGGCGTATTCTTCCACCACCCACGACCCCTCCCACCACCAGTGATAGCACCAGTCTTGGTCTGCGGGCAGCACCATGGTGGACGCACAGGATGCCGGGAGTAAGCTCTTCTCCAAGAGCCGCTGGAAGACCAAGATCTTCGAAAAGACCAACGAACTCGCCGCCGCCACACAGCCCAAGACGAAGCCGCCCTCGGACGACCACGACATCAACGACTTCCTCAAGCCCTCGACCGACCGCGCCGCCCAGCAGCAAAAGGACGCCGCTGCCGCTGCCTCAGCCTTCCTCCGACCCCGCATAGACGTTGCGAGCGCCCAGCGATGGCCCGGCGCACAGACGATCCTGAACAGCGCTGCTGCTGCCGGAAAGAGCCCAGGGCCCGGCGGTCTGAAGACAGGCACGCGCAAGAAGGGCTTCAC